AACCGTCCGATCTTGGTTGTCATCATTTGTCCAGTTCTGATGGAAGTCGACCGTTTGGTCCCGATTGACACCATTTGTCTGGTCCCAATGGAAGTTGGTCAATCAGTCCCAATCATTGTTGAGTTGCGATGCCGATGGAACTTGGCCCAGTAGAAGTTGGGGCCCTATTCGGGTTATCACCAATGATCTAATCTCAGTGGAAGTCGTCCATCCAGTCTAGGTCAATGCCGACGATTTGGTGTTTGTGGAAGTTAGTCGTCTGGTTTAGATTGTTGCTTGCACTCTGGTCCCTATTAGAGTGGGCGATTCGGTCCTAATAGAAGTCTACTATCTGGTCCTAGTTGGTGCTAGCAGTGCAGTCCTCAGTGATCCAGTCCAGGCCAATAGTGGTGGCGTGGTTCTGTCAGCTTCGGGATGTGGTCCAATTATCATTCGCAGTCAATTAAGCCTTTATGGATTTAGGTCAAATTACGAAAGAGATTAAGTTAGGATTTGAAATTACAAAGAAATTGAGGTAGTACTTAAATTTAGATTTTAATCAAATTTAAATCCATACATTTTTCATTACCCAAACAATGGATTTGGATCAAATCCAAATTTAAATCCATACATATCCAAACATATCATAATTTTAAATATGAGATTTCAAATATAAGATTTTAAATTCAAATTTTTAACCTAAATCCACATATCCAAATGCATCCTAAGTTCATTTGTGGATTGAAATTTTAATGGCAATCTTTGAAATTTTATTTTGATTTGTTCCAAACCCACTGTCAAATTTACGTGCATGCTTAACTTGAATAAAATTGGTTTATTGAATCTTGGTATTAATTTGCAAAAGCTCCTTGTGGGATGACCTTGACTCGCCATTGTACTGCATTTTTTTTTTTAAATAAAAAGAGCAAAACAAATCAAAAAGAGATTACAACAGATAATAGCTACCTAATGGGACACTTTCATCATTAACCACCTCTTGGCTAAGAGGAGGTGGATGATTAAAGAAACAAAAATTGATTTCTAATCTACGAGAGAGTCTAGCCAAATAGTCTGCATATAAATTAGACTCTCTCTGTACGTGAGTAATTGACAATGTCCAATTTTTATGGTATAAACACCGAACATCCTCAATAATATCTTTAAATGGATGCAACTCGTTACATCTCTTGGTAATCAGCCAAATAGCTTCCACACAGTCACAATGTATATCTACCATGCGCAAACCTTTGTCCCAACACCACTAGAGCCCCATGTTGATAGCGAAGAGTTCCGCAATTGCAGGCGGCACATTGATCAATTTATTATTGAATCCACTTATCCATGAAGTATTCGGATCCCGTTGTACTGCATTTAGACCTGTGCACTTGCAGGTGCTAATTAATTTTAGGCGCATCAAATATATAATTTTCTAATATTGCTTGTGTATGCATACATTCCTTTTAATTTGATAATAGGTCATTCTGAGAAGGTTTTCGGTATCAGGAATAGGTGTGTTTCATAGTAAAGTTCGATCTGCAATCAAGAAGAGCATGAGCCGAACTTAGAAATGGTTGACTTGTGGAACGTGACGATGAGAATATTTGTCAAATTAAGCAAACAATGATCCTATGACTATGTAATATGGTTAATGTCACTGTAAAGAGCTCGTATTTAATGTTATTGAGATAGTTACTCAAATTTCTATGATTCATTGAGATTTTTTTTTTGGAGCAAAGAGATTATTTTTATTTTTATTTATTATCTTGACTTAATAAAATATATTATATCTCCATCATTTTTGTACGTGAGATTTTAGAAAATATTATTTATTAGTCAAGACTTAATTTAAAATTTTTTAGTTTTTAGAAGCTTAATATATACTCTCTCCGTTAAAAAATATAAGATATTTTTAATTGAATCTCATCCTCAATAAAGTAGTTACTTATTTTCAAACTAATCTCATCTTTTCATATTTACCTCCTATTTAATAAGATGTCTTACCTTAAAATAGATATAAAGTAATTTATTTAATAAGAATACTTTTGACAAAAAAAAATACAATGATTACATATTGAAAAACTAAAAATATTTTATATTTTTGAATATCTATCCCTTCAAAAAAAATTTATATTTTTTAAATTTATATCCTCTCCACTGTCATAGAAAAGAGATAACTATTATTGTAAATTTATTTTTTACACTAAAATTTCTCACTCGTTGTTGCCCGTGGTTTTTAATCCTTTATATTAGGAATTTTCTCACCTTAAATTTTGAGTGTCATCTTCTTTTGTTTTTTTCCTTTTCTACTTTTCTGTAATTTTTAATTATTTAATTATTTTTTTATACTTCCCAACAAATATATTAAGAAATGACGGACATTATTTTCAATTTTCTTTGATACTCTTCTGTCTTTCAAATTGAAACCCTTCTTTTTCTTCTGTTAAATTTTCAATGATGCTGTGACCTTTGATTAGGAAAGGAAAAAAGTTAGGTCAAAATTAAATTTTGGCCAAATAAGCTTAAATTTATATGATAAGTCAAAGGTTTAAGCTTAACTTAAAATTTATAAAAGGTTTTTTTTTTAAAGCTTAAATCTAAATCTACCTAAAGCCTAGCTTAATTCAAAAATCTATTTAAAAACCTACTTAAAAATAATTTTTTTTAAATAGACTTATATGTTAGGTTTAAACGTTTCAAACATGTTTTTGAATTATTAATGTCTATATTTATATAGTAAGATTTATCAATTTCAATATATAATAATTAAAATGATTTACTAACTACTTTATTGTACAATAAAGTAATAACATTAAAATTAATATATAAATCCAATAAGATTTAAAATATAATTAGAAATAAAAAATATATTAATCAAAAATTAAATGGTAAAAATGTACATATAATATATTACATAATACACACATGAGGTCCTGTTAAACTTAAATGTTAAGCCTTATCAAAATAAATTTGATCCATTTAATTAAATAAGCTTTATCAAAAGCTTGGATCTGATTTGTATTTATTTAATAAATAAATTAGTCTGTTTTGCTTAAAAAAAATATGAAAAGAAAACTAGCCTGGGCCTGAAGTAATTTAGACTGTGGGGGCTAAGTGCATTTTCATTCCATAACATTGTTATAATTGATTATGAAGTTCGTTTAAGCCGCCGACTCGGAAGGTTTGATTCGGAAATGGCCAAACAAATTTCAACAATAAAATATTTAAAATAACTCAAAACCTATCCATATCTGTAATTGAAATAAATGTCAGTAATAATTTATTATCATGCGTGATTACTTTCTGACAACAAAATAATAATTGCTCCCTGACATTTGGTTTTCGGCCAGAAACAAAATTATATTATATCAACAAAAATACAACGGGACCACATGAAAAAAATTTAAAAGGCCAAAGCCCAAAACATACAAAGCCCTAGACATCGTCACCATCAGAAACCCTAACCCAAAACGAAGCAGGAAGCCAGCCGCACCGCTGTGACCGAAAAAGGCATACAAACTCTGGTAAACAAGTGGGAATATTTCAAATTTGATAACTCCATATATATATATATATATATATAGTTAAATAAAAATAAATTAACCTTTAAATCAGTTTAATTTTTTTTAAATTTAGTCCTTACATTGCATTTTGCTCTTTTATTTTTTAAATTTTATGAGTATGCGTGCTTTTTTTAACTAAATAATTACATTTATTTTTATTAATTTGCATGGATTCCATCAATGTTTCATTTTCCATGTAAGTATATTTTAACATTGTTACCTTTTATTTAAATAATAAGAATGAAATTGATAATTAATACAAATTTAAGAAATCAAATCAATAAAAAATAAACTTTAAATGATCAAATTGATAATTGAGGCAAACTTTAACGGACAAAAATTTGGTCAAGTAAGAAATAATAAAAATAATTAATGATATTGGATCAAGCAAGAAAACACACCCATGTAATGCAAGCCGATTTCAGGAATATTGGAAGAGTGGAGTACGAGACTATTTGTAGAGGAAGAAACCTTCCAATTAGAGAAGCTCATTTCAGGAATATATGCTCAAGAAGATAAACTCAACCATGGTTCAGAAAATCAGAGAACTCGCTAGATCGGATTCGCTAGTTAAAAAAAAAAAAGAAAATCACTAAATCAGATCTCCTCTTTGATCTAAAATAAGGGGTAAATTAGTGATAAATAAAACGAATAAAAAGAACTGGGAAAATAAATATCTCGAGAATGTGGTTGCCTCCTCGTGACCTTTCAATCACATTATCAAGGGATATGACCCTGCAGTTTTATTTATAAATCCAAAAAAAAAAAAAAATCTCGAGAATGCGGGTGCCTCCTCGTGACCTTTCAATCACATTAGAGATAAGACCCTTCAGTTTTATTTATAAATCCAAAAAAATAAATAAATAAATATCTTGAGAATGTGGCTGCCTCCTTGTGACCTGTCAATCACATTAAAAATAAGGCCCTTCAGTTTTATTTATAAATTCAAAAAACAAAATCTTATTTATAAGTTATGTTTTTAATTTTTCTACCATATGATGATAAGAAAAAATTTTTGATTAAAAATGTACATCTAATGTTTTGTTTTTAAAAAATTTATTTAATCTTATTTATAAATTATTGTGTGACTTTGTAGATAATATTTAAAAAATATTTTTAAAATTAAAAAAAATTAATATGATATTTTTTTAAATTTATTATATAAAGACATATTAAGAATTTTATACAATTTTATTTCTTTAACTTTTTTTCTATACTGATATTAATGATATTCGTGAAACTGATTTATTAAAAAAAATTGAAGGAGTATAGATAAACTTAAAAATCAATGAAATATACTCCCTCCGGTCCTATTTATAAGTCATATCTACCAACCTCACCAATACCAATGCAACAACATTATAAAGAATATTTATAAATGAAATTCCAAAATTACCCTTCAAATAAAAAACTACAAAAATCCAAACAATATAATATTATTTTCTAAATAATTCTCTCTCATAGTACTGTACAAAAAAGTCTGTCAGTCAAATAAAGTCAGTAAAACAAAGGCTGTCATCTGTACTTGGCGGGAAGGCCAAAATGAAATTGGTGGGAGGGGAATTTTTGGCCAGTTACATTCTTATAAAAATGACAGAAAAAGCAAATTGAACAAAAGAACAAAAACGCATGAAACTACAATCTTCTTCAGCTTTCCACCACTGCCTTCCACCATGGAAAATTACTGCACACCTTTTGATTTAAATGCTCCAACTGAGGAAGATGGTGGGGACAGCAGCAACAGTTTCTTAGACTTAAATGCTCCTCCCATGTGTGAGAATGTCTACCTAGACAACAATCAAAATGAAAATCCACATGCAATCAATGAAGAAAGAAGTGGTAAGAATATCTATGTTTATGAAATTTAGAGTATTCTCATGTAAAATTTAACTTTCTAGTATCTATGTTCAGTTGTTGAGAAGAATAAAGCTATCCAAATATAATTTACTTAAGAGTAATAATCACTTTTCATACTTTTTAAACATTTCAAGGCCCTTTAATACCTCAGCCAGCCTATCACAGATATTCACATGCTTATTAAGAAAGTAAATGTCCATATCAGAAATATTAAAAGCTTTTTAAACATCCCAAGGCCCCTTAATACCTCAGCTAACGTGCTTATTGACAGCTTTTCACATGCATTGTAACATACTAAAGACTTTAAATTACAGATCAATCAAGATATCTTCATAGTTTATGCAAGGAAACTAATATATACATCAAGTTATAGCACTATAAATGTTCGTTCAAATATTTAAAAGAGACCCAGCGTAAAAGTGCTAAAATGTTATAAGGAAAAATAAAATTCATAAATTTTGAATATGGGCAAACAAACAGGAAACTTGCAGAAGGAAAATTTGAATATTTAAAACATTTAGTTATAACAAATTAGCCAGACAAAATGCAACAGATGTTAAAAATTAATATTAATATGAACAGTATACTTATAATAAAAACAGAAGTATATTATCAAAAAGAAGAAGAAGTAAACATTTTCTATATGAAAGTTTCCTCAATGCAAACTATGGACCCTATTTTTTCTTTAGAGGAAATTCTAATAAAGTTACCTGATTGCCTTGGGAGGAAGCACTAATAGAGTCCAATCCAGCTGCTACTTTCTCAACAACTGCCTTGTCCGATGATTTTTTTCTTGAGGGAGTTGTAATTTAAAGAAGCTAGAGAGCTTGTCTTGAGGGAGTTGTAATTTAAAGCGCTTAATACCACATCTGTAATTTAAAGTACTTCCATTAAATCCTAGGTGACAAGTAATTCAGAACAGAAAACCTTTTTTCATAACAAAGAGAAATATCTAGGCTTTAATTTTTGATAATAGAAGTTGCAGCTGCCATACCTTAAACTGGCAGCAAAGTAGCAGAGTCATTGGCTTGATTTTCTTGTTTTGCTTTTTTGAGACTCTTAACATTAAGCTCAAGATGGATTTTCTTCTTTAACATCTTCATCACCTACAACATTACAAATTGTTTGATCAGTTGAATACATGCGAATCCCATATAATTGAATGAAACTCTCTTACTATGTTCCTTGAAAATAAAGGTTATTTTCATTGAACAAGTGTAAGAGCTAGAAGATTAACTTATTCACTGTATATTAAGTCATGCACACAGAATTTTATATTTTATATAGAAAGTAGGGTGCACATAAACTTGTATAGACTTTTAATATCTAGTATCAATACACTCTTGAAACAGAGACAGATATAGGAGGCAATACAATTGAATCATCAAGGCAGCCACCATGTAAAAGAAGGTTCTTGTCAAATGAAGAACGTGTAGCCATTTGTAAGATTTTGTTACACTCAAGTTGTGGAGGTAAATTGAGCAGCAGTACAACAAGAGAAATAGCTTCAGCATACTCAGTTTCAATGAGAGTGATTCGACGCATTTGGAATCAAGTTAAGGAAACAGGTGATGCAACTCATAGAAAGACAAATAGGTGTGGAAGAAAGGGACATAATGTGAACATGGAACAAGTCATGGCAATTCCTTTACAGCAAAGAACTACTTATAGGTCTCTTGCAAGTGCGTTAGGGGTTAATAAGACATCATTGATCAGACTAAAGAAAAAAGGAGTTCTATGGCGCCATACTAGTGCAATCAAACCACATTTGAAGGAGCAAAACATGCTTGCTAGATTGAGGTGGTGTTTGTCCATGCTAGAACAAGAAAGCATACCAAATGATCCAACTTTTCAATCAATACACAATATAATCCATATTGATGAAAAATGGTTTTACATGACAAAGAAATCCCAGACCTACTACTTGGCAATAGGGGAAGAGCCACCACATCGAACATGCAAAAACAAGAATTATGTTGGTAAGGTTATGTTCCTAGTTGCTGTGGCTAGACCTAGATTTGATGCACAAGGAAATGAAATTTTTTCTGGGAAGATTGGGTTGTTTTCATTTGTTATAAAAGAGGCAGCAAGGAGAAGGAGTGCAAACAGGAGCAGAGGCACAATGGAAACAAAACCAATCACGTCAATTACAAAAGAAGTGATGAAATCTTTCTTAATTGACAAGGTGTTACCAGAAATCAAAGCCAAATGGCCAACAAGCCATGCAAGTGAAACCATTTATGTTCAACAAGATAATGCTCCTTGTCACATTCATGATAGTGATGTGGACTTTCGTATGGCAGCAAGTGATGGTGGGTTTGATATTTGCTTGATTTCCCAACCCCCAAATTCCCCTGATTTGAACATTTTAGATCTTGGTTATTTTAGAGCAATTCAAGCACTACAACACCAAGAAACGCCTAAAACTATAGATGACCTTGTCAAGGCTGTAGAGAAGTCATTTGAAGTTTACACATCCAAGCAATTGAATAGGATCTTCCTCACACTACAAGCTATTATGATTGACATTATGAAGGACAAAGGTTCAAACAAGTATAAGCAAGGTCATTTGAAGAAGGATATGATAGAAAGAAGAGGTGACTTGCCTAATCAACTTAAGTGTAATCCCTACCTAATTGAAGAAGTTTTGGAGCACTTAGCACAAGTGGATAGATGATTGAGATTAAAGGGTGGATGTTTCTATGCATCCTCTATGTTTTGGTGATTAATATTTTGTGTTACAATTTGTTATGTCAATTGCAACACATAATATTAACAGTTAATATTTTGTAATAGATGCTATTGGCAATGAAAAATGATGTCAAACAACCCCTAATCATAAAAGAATAAAACTGATCAAAGTTAAACAATATTAAACAAAGAACCCTTGATCATAAATTTATTTTGTAAAGAAATAGTATTCATTTTGTAAACAAAGAACCCTGATCATAAAAGGAATAATATTTTGTAATCAATTTATTTTTTTTCTAATAGATGTTAAACAAAGAATATAAAGGAAGAAACTAATCTAAGTGATGAAAATCTGAAGCAATTGATGCAAGAGAAATTAATTCACTGCTATTGCTTGCTCAATCAATAAAACAACCCCTGTTTCACCATATTTCACAATAATACAGCTTATGAAAAAAACAAACTTATTATCAAACAATGGAGACATTTTTACCTTTTCTCCCTTCGGCCCTCCCCATTTTGATTCTAAAATGTAACTCGGACAACCTCTTACACAGTCACAATTATATTTTTTGGTGACAAATCTATAATTATATTTAACACAAAGCTACCATACTTAGTTTAGCTGCCAGTAGCCAGGGGCTTAAGTAGTTCACAGAAATCTCATGTTTAATATTAGTAGGATCATAACAGGGTACGAACAAAATATTGTAGATTACCACAATAGGATTAACACAATATAATATCATCATCCATCAGGCCGTGAGCATCCCAGACCTACTCCTTAATCAGCATAAGCTTAAATTCTAGATTAACCCAAATTACACAAAAGGTATAGAAATTTAAGACAAATCAGAGCATATAATGTAAAGTATCATACACAAATCGCTTACGGTCTTTCTCTTCCTCAGTCAGATGTGCATAGTCTTCCTCAGGGAATGGAAACTTGTTCAAGTCGAAAGGGTAGACTATGTTCTTCTTTTCACTTGCTTTTGTAAACTCCAGCACTGCATCGCCGTCACTCACGTCTTCACCATCCTCGACTGCCTCTTCGTTCAAATCAAACGAGTGAGCTTTCTTCACACGCACAGCCTCAGCGAAGTTAGAAGATGTGAAGGAAGAACCAATCGGACGAGGAGCCCTCAAAATCTTTCGACTCAGAGAGTTTACCTCTCCACAAAACTCGAGCGGCCGTAAATCTTCTTCCCCAGTAAGAGAATCGTCCACTACGCATGCCATTAGCTGATCCCACGACAGACCCTCAAAACGCTCCTCCATCGGACTTGAACGGCGAGATCCAGAGATATTGGACACCATAAAATGATCGGCGACACTTGTGCGAATAACAGCAGAAAAGGAATTGCAACAGAGGAACAATAAGCTCGGCGGCGACAACGAAAGAGGCGATCGACGAAAACCGAGCGAAGATGGTGAGAGAAAAGGACGAAGACAGGGTGAGAGAAAAGGACGAAGACACGGTGAGACAGGACGCCAGTGAAATGTTAGGGCAGCCGAACGAAGATGAGTAAAGTAGCCAGGGATATTTTCGGAATTTTACTTTAAAATGGGAAGCCTTTACCTGTCAGTGCCTTATAATGGGGACCAGATATCTCTTCAAAAATTGGTCTTATAATACGGACCGGAGGGAGTATTAACAATAATTCATAAATAATTTTAAAATAGCATGAGATTGTAGCAAAGTAGTTATGAAACTGACATACAAGACTAAAGGCACAATCATTGAGAAGGATGATGGGACATGCGCGGCACCAAAGTATTTAAATAATGCATATCCGAAGAAAAAAACAGTAAAGTAGAAAAAGTGGAATCTCCATTCAATTTTGGCTCAATTATGAAACCCTTTTGGGACGTACAGTAATAATCCAATTTAAATTAAACTAATTATAAAGCATAACTATCTTTCTCGCGTGACAATTTGCTCTTGTAACTTAAACAGCTAGTTTTCAACCCCTGTATAAACATATATACCCCTTTTGCATCTGTCAATAAAGATGTATAATCTGGCCATGTCAGCAGCAAGTATCCCTCGTCTAACGCTCTCCGGCGGCAACCGTGGCATGCCAGTAATCGGCCTGGGCACGGCGGCTGATTCACCGGGGAAGGACAGCACCAAAGGGGCAGTGATAGAGGCTATCAAAGTTGGGTACACACACTTTGATACAGCTTCAGTGTGTGGATCCGAAGAGTTTGTTGGAGAAGGCATAGTTGAAGCGCTTCAGCTTGGCCTCATCAACTCCAGAGACGACCTCTTCATCACTTCTAAGCTCTGGTGCAGTGATAATCATCCTCTTCATGTTATTCCTGCTTTACAGAGATCACTTCGGTGAGAAGTTTAATTACTAATACTTCTTTAAACTTGATCACTTTTTGATGCAAGAATTGCTGAGAAAATTGTTATTCTCTTGTCCTTAAGATATGGCAAATTTAACATAAGGCAAAATTTCCTGTCCTTGATATAAAGCAAATTTAAACTCATTTTTTTAAATTTTACCTCTTGTTTATTTATTATAGATTAAATTCTTAAACAATAATTTATTATACTACTTTCATGCCAATTTATAAAATATTTTTGAAAGATCAAATTAAATATTTTAAAATATAAGACACTTCGATAAAATTAAGGTTTCATTAATAAATTTTTTTAATATTATCCTTCTTATTATATTCTCTCTCTTTTTAATATTTTTTTACAAATGAAATAGTAAATGAAGGATATTTTTAGAAGTTTATATTTTTATCTTAAAAAAATAAAGTTATACATTATATTTAATTAATGAAATTTATTGCTGTGTAATTTTATTTAAAAGCTTGTTATAAATTGAGATGTAGGGAGTATTTATTAGTTGTAACGAAAGACAAAACTGATTATTTAATTAACAATTGTAAGATATAACTATCATTTTTCAATTAATGTAAAGTTGATTAGGTTTGTCTTACATTAAAGATTAGAAAGAGCGCTTCTTAACAAAATGAACATTATTACTGAGACAAGTTTGACCTCGTGGTGTTAATAATAATTTATGCTTGCAGGTCTCTGAGATTAGAATATCTGGATCTCTATTTGATCCACTTTCCCCTCAGTGCTAAACCTGGGAATTTGAAATTCCCATTCGACCAAAACGAGGTAGTTCCATTTGATATGAAGGGCGAATGGGCTGCAATGGAAGAATGCAAGAAGATGGGACTCACAAAATCCGTTGGAGTCAGTAATTTCTCCACCAAGAAGCTTCAAAGTCTTCTTTCTTTCGCTACCATTCCTCCTTCTGTCAATCAAGTAAGACGGCACATTTTTCAATCCTTCTTCATGTTACAGCTAATTAATCTTCAAGCTATGCATTGTCCACTACTACAAAATAAGTTTACAGAAATGTTCTTTTTTGACCTTAGAGAGCGCTTTTGAATCGCTCCCATATCAAGCGTTTCGAAATGTACAGGAGCGCTTAAAAAAAGCGCTCCTGTATGTACGCTATATAAGAATGCTTTTAGAAAAGTGCTCCCGTAAGAGAGCTCCAGTTTATAAGGGCACACGTCATGTACGGGAGCGCTCCTATAGGAGCGCTCCCGTATGCTAACACCTTACCGAAGCGCTCTTTAAAAGAGCACTCCTATATGCCCCCATACAGGAGCACTCTTTATAGGAGCGCTCCGGTATGCTAACAACTTATCGGAGTTCGGAAGAGCTCTTCCGGAGCGCTTAAGTACGAGCGCTCCGAAGGTATTTTTAAATTTTTTACAATATTTTATATATATTAATTAGGAGCGTTATCTTATTGAGAAACCTGACACACAGGAGCACTTATTTAGAAAAACGCTCCGGTAAATTCTGCATTCACATTTTAGAGCGCTTATTTAAAAAACGCTCCTAAATACCTACTCCTAAAGATATATTCTATAGTAGTAGTCAAACTCTTTATATTAAATATACTCAAGAATGACTACTTCACCAAAGATAAGTTAAGTTACTTGATTAGATATAGGGAAAATGACAATCAAGTCCCAAAAGACTAATTTTATACTAGTTAAGTTCCAAGTAATTCTAAAAGGCCAATGAAGTCCCAGAGTCCTTAAGTGGTATTTTGGTGTCACGGAAAAAGACTGAAACACCCTTCTTCTCAAGTAATTGTTAAATGCTCATTTTCTTCTCTGCCGGAACGAGATCCTATGTAGGACGAGCTCTCATCTCTGCTTAGTTTCTTCTCTGCCTTGCTAATGAGTTCCTATGTGTGCGACGAGCTCTCTTCTGATCTTCTTTGCCTTACCGAGGAGCTATTTCAATTGATTGATCAGAGGAAAGCTTCTCTGCCCTAGCATGAGCTCTTTCGATTGATTGACCGTAGGAAAGCTTTTCTTCCTCAATGAAAGCTGTTTTGATTGATTTGTTGGTACATTGCTTCTCATCTGTGTCTATTCTCATCTTGTCATCTTTGTATATTACTCCTCGTCTCTTCTCTGTTTTCTCTTTGCCCTTTCTTGAAAGTCAGTATGTTATTCGTGTGCTTCTGTCTTCTTGCATAAGTTATGGTTTTCTATTGATTTCACATAACCTTTGCGTCTATTACTGTTTATGTTTTGTCTGACTATCCTTAAGCTTCCTGCATACTCTGGCTTCAGACATGAGTTCTCTAAGTTGGAAGAAGTATGTATGAATCTTTCAACAGCAAAATTTTTAGTTTCTGTGTTTTCTATATTGGAATTGAGCTTGGGGATATTTGATTTGGCTGATGAACTTTGGTTCTATATCATATTTAAGAGCCAATCACAGTTAAATGCAAAAAACAAAGTTACAGAAGCAAGCTACAGGATGCAAGGATCTTGTAAAGGGTTCTATCCCATGATAGAGCAGTAGGTTAGCAACTTTTACATGTGTGAAATTGCAAAAAAGAATGACAGGGGAACCATTTAATCTGATGATGGGTACATGTGCAGCCTTCTACTTTATCTAACCATAAATATCAGTACTTCATATCCCTTTCAAGCACATTTCAAGCAGGCTTAAAATTGCCATTAGTCCTATTGTTACTTTTGTCTGTCATTAGCAGAAACTAAGGCTAGTAACGTGTTTACTTGCTGAGACCATAAGTTATTGCTTATTTTATGTAGTTTTTGGTTGACAATCAGTTTTGTGGATACACAAATTAGAGATAAATTAAGTGTTTGACATGTGTTTTACATGAAATTTGACTGCAAATGCTTATCAAATTAGAAGAAGTTGAATATGATTTTAGCCCATTATACATATACATGCACACATACATAGATATATACATATCTGCTTTATTAGTATATTGTCATAAATTCAAAATCAAATAAAAATATTTTAATATTTAATAAAATGTCTTCCAAATCATGAAGTGTGAATTACATTCCATGTCATTCAGAAGTTGTTATCACTACAATTGTGATGTAATGGTAGCTCTATAAATAAGTTTAACATAATCAATATCATACCCCATTAGTTACTCATTTTTCATCTTCTAGGATTTCTTGTAAGAACAACATGATATGCCTTCTTAAATAGAAGAAAAGCTTGTCAGTTAGCCATATAGTAATTTTGTGCTATTTTTAAACTAGTTTGTGTTATGAACTCATCATAGTGAATGCGAGTGACTTTATCTAATGGTAATTAGCATTTGATCCTGCTGTTTTGTGTTTTATTAACTTTAAAGTCTATATTAAGATGCAGACTGGTCAATTCATCAGCTTTGCAATGTTGTTATGCAAATAGTTGTTTAAGTGTAGGCTTATGCTTCTATTTAGGTGTTAATTTTTGTAACAGAATATGGCATATCACTATGGTGTTTCCAATTTGAGTAGCATTTTGTAAGACCCGGTTCTTGTTCATATCTTTTAGGCAATCTTCTATGTTTGCTTTGCTTCCTCTTATGTGAGGTTCTAAGTTTGTTACACCAAGAGATAATATGTGCATTGGTACCCTACCCATTTATGATTATAGTAGCCAAACTATGATGAAATACATTGAAATATGAAGAATCTTTTAGGTGGTGTTTGGTACGTGCATTCTTTACATTTGTATTGGAATGATATTTGTAATGATGTGGCTTGGGACTGTAATCACTGCGTATACATGTCCTTTATGTTTAGCTTATCTATAATCACAGTGGCCTAATGTTTTTGAAAATGACCACTATTAGCCCCTTTCTCCTCTCTCATATTTGCCAAAGTTTTAATGAATCCATTAAAAGCCGCTACCCTACATGTTCACTATTCCATGTCAGTGTATATGTATGTGGTGTGTTTTTGGGTGTAACATTTAGCTGAATCTGTTTCATTTGCTTTTGTTGCAGACCAAAAAAAAAGTAATTTGCAACTGAGACACCCAAGAAATTATGGACAACAAGAAAGCTACAACAAAAAAGAAATCTGGATACGACAACTTCAAAAAAGAGTTTCTAAAAAAAATGAAGGAAAATTCAGTGGTTTTATAGAAGCCAATGATTCAATGCGAGTGACAAAAATTATCTATATAACGTGTATTTCCTACCAATTGAAATAGCTAGGCTGTTACTTATATTACTTTAATCATATGGTGATCCAATTCAATGTAACAAATGAATCATGAAATTTTCTAATTTCATTATTATTTTAGGACAAGTGAAGTGATATAAAACACTCTTTGTGACTATCAAGGAAGCTGAACAAGCAACCAAATCAATTATATATAGCCAATGTTGCAACTGTTTGTCAAAATTTTGGGTGGGGTAACTACTGAATTTCTTAAAAAAGTTATTATTCTAGGACAAAGCTCCAGTAATTTGCAACTGAGACACTAAATTTTGCAACTTCGTTAGGAAAATTTTGCAACTGGTACTCAAAATTTTGGATCGAAGAACTATTAAATTCCTACAAGAGTTAAATCTTTTACGACATGGCTCTAGTAATTTGCAACTGAGACACTAAATTTTGGAACTTCTTTGGGAATAATTTATAACTTATACATGAAATTTTGGATCGAAGAACTATTAAATTCTTACAAGAGTTATTCTTTTAGGATAACATTTTAGTATTTTGCAACTGAGACACCAAATTTTGCAAGTTCCTTAGGAATAGTTTGCAACTAATACTCGAAATTTTGGATCGAAGAACTATTAAATTCATAGAAAAGTTAAATCTTTTAGGATAATGTTCCAGTAATTTGTAACTGAGATACCAAATTTTGCAACTTTCTTAGGAACAATTTGCATCTGGTAGTCGATATGTTGGATCGAAGAACTATTAAATTCTTACAAGAGTTATTCTTTTAGGACAATATTCCATTAATTTGCAACTGAAACACCTAATTTTATAACTTTCTTAGGAATAATTTGCAATTGGTACTTGAAATTTTGGATCGAAAAACTATTAAATTCATAGAAAAGTTAAATTTTTTAGGACAACGTTCCAATAATTTACAACTGAGACACCAAATTTTGCAACTTCCTTAGGAAGCATTTGCAGCTGGTACTCGATATTTTGGATCGAGTAACTATTAAATTCTTACAAGAGTTATTCTTTTAGGACAATGTTCCAGTAATTTGCAACTGAGACACTAAGTTTTGCAACTTCCTTAGGAACAATTTGCAACTGGTATTCGAAATTTTGAATTGAAGAACTATTAGATTCTTACAAGAGTTATTCTTTTAGGACAACGTTCCAGTATTTTGTAACTGAGACACCAAATTTTACAACTTCATTAGGAATAATTTGCAACTTGTACATAAAATTTTGGATCGAAGAACTATTTAATTCTTGAACTTGCAAACTTACCAAATTAAAATGTAATAATATATCACTTAGAAACAAGTTACTTTTGATATAAGTGATTTTTGCATCAGTGAGATAGTGAGAACGTTCTATCTTAAAATATGGATACTCGATGATAAATTCTTACACTTTCAGTTGCAAAATGTCGAATCTTCATGCCAAATTTTTAGAGACGTGAAATAAAAAAAAATCTTTCATGTTCAGTTGCAAAAAAGCGTTCCATCTTCTTCCTTACGAGAGCCGTTTTATAAGAAATCGGACCTTAATGGAGTCAACTTTGTTATTCAGATGCAGAGATTTGCAAAAAAAAAAAAACAATATGTCTAAACGCACCAGCCAAACAAACTCAACAGAGAATAAAGCTTCCTTGAGTCAATAATTATAGGGGCATTTTTGTCTTTTTTATCAGAACTCTGATTTGTGAAAAACAGCATGGGACTTTATTGGCCTTTTAAAATTACTTGGGACTTAACTGATATAAAATTGATCTTTTGGGACTTGATTGTCATTTTCCCTTAGATATATCTTAAATTTTATATATCTGCAATAAGTTACTTTCTAATTACTAGAAATGAGACCTTTCTTCTCAAATATGTACAATATAATGGATACAAGCAGAGATGAATCCTTCTTAGCAACCTGCACAAATAAACAACCCTAAATTACAAAATAATAAAATAATAGAAAAGTTAATTTTAGAAAAATAAAATTACTTTATTATCTATAAAACAAAATAATAAGTAAAATTAACATGCACATGCATGCATGCATACATATTTTGAGATATGACGGAACAGGACATCTCAACAATACTCAACCCCTCAACTTTCTCCTCTCAATGCTATTTTTTTTTCATCCCTTTATGTATGGTCTTGATTTATTTTTGGGTGGAGAGTGACCCATTGCAAACATGATTGTGGATGGAGACAAGGTAATCGGGACTTGGACTCCATAAACATTTTATTATCTATCTTTTAATTATATTAAATATACTTAAAAATTGTCTACATCACCAAAATTTCTTAAGCGATGTGATTAGACATATATTTAAAGTTTTATGTATTCCTAATCTACCTTCTAATAATTACTAGATATATGACTTCTTGCTATAATTAATATGTAAAATATAATAATGGACAAAGGTGGAGATGAATCCTTGTTGGCAGCAGAAGAAGCTTAGAGAATTCTGCAAAGCAAAGGGTATAATCGTCACTGCATATTCTCCTTTAGGAGCCAAAGGAGCAAGTTGGGTTACCAATGAAGTCTTGGACAATGAATTACTAAAAGAGGTTGCTGATGCTCATGGCAAGACTGTTGCGCAGGTACTCCTAGTAATAATGAACATAAATTTAAGTTTCTCTCAGACATGAATTAATGGAATTTTTTATTTGTATAGAATTGATCTGATCAAGTTAATTATCATTTCTGGTTTATTAATAACAGGTATGTCTGAGATGGTTGCATGAGCAAGGAGTGAGTTTTGTGGTCAAGAGTTACAAAAAAGGGAGGATGAAACAAAACTTTCAAGTATTTGATTGGTCACTCACTGAAAGTGACTACCAAAAGATAGCCCAAGTCAAGCAGCATCGCATGAATCACGGTCCTACTACTTCTCTTGAAGATTTATTTGATGGGGAGGCTTAATTAATTATGACCATAAACCGTTTGTTTTCTGCTAGCCATTGCATTTCAATTATTGTTATACGGTTTTTGAGCATGACCGAGGTTTTTTTTTTTTAAAAAAAATTATGTATGCATTTCATGAAGCAAATTTATTTATAAATAAGTTTCATAAAAATAAAAATAATAATTAGGTCCCTGGAAATCTGAGTATAATTTAAAATTAAAATGTAAAAATAATAATTTTTTTGTTAAAAATACATTATATCTATCAAGTAATTTATAACTACTTTATTAGTAATTTATAAATTATCGCTTTCATTTTTGACAATTGTAACTTTATATATCTAATAATTAAACCGATTATACATTAAAAGTTTAATACTAATTGTATAAAACTACCTAATCATTAATTTACAATTATCACTTCAACATTTTATAACTATAACTTCACATATTTAATAGTCATATCGATCATGTGTTATTAACAAAGTTTAACACTGATTATTTATAATTATATTATTAATAATTTACAACTACCATTTTAATATTTTATAACTTTGACTTTATATATTTAATAGTTAAACCGATCGAATGTTACTAATAAAGTTCAACAGTAATTGTTTAAAACTACTTCATTAATAATTTTTATTATCACTTTAACTTTTTATAATTGTAACTTCACATTTATAATAGTTAAACTAATCATGCATTACAAGTAAGATAATATTATTTTCACATCATGATTTCAAATTACATTCAAGTCTTAAAATACATGTAATTTTTAAATTTTGCAGGGCTAATCAATATATTTTTGAATAGAGAGAATGACTGAGAAGTTTCAAGATGATCAATTAATTCAACTTAAGTTTCAAGTATCAAATATTAGAAATTCATAAGTTCAATTCTCAATTTTATAACTTCGGTATAATGAATTTATAACTTATTTTTTTAAATTTTAACATGAAAAATAAATTTATTTATTCTTTAACAATGTTAAAATTTAAAAAATAAATTACGAATTTATCATAATAAAATTATAAAATTGAGAGATAAATTTATAAATTTTTAAAATTTAACACTTAAAACTTAAATTAAATTAATTAATTTTTTTTAAGACTCCTCTGTGATCCTTCCATTGAGTTTCACCAAGCCAGTGCTCCTCAAGTGTGGATTTAGAATCATCTTACTGTTCGTGGAACTAAATAAGTCACTTGGTTCATGGAGCTAGAGGGCTTTATTTTCGGGCTGCGTGAAAAGTCTATTTTTTAATATGTGTTGTCTTTTTCATGGTGGAAAAAAATTTGCTTTATACAAAGCTTAAGCTCTCGGGCTTTGTGTAGATTTTCTTCTTGTGCATTTTATAGGTGTTGTCTCTTTCAGGCTGAACAATAACCGCCTCTCATTCTTACGAAGTCCCGTAAATTTTCAAACCTCAAACCACAATTTTTTCCTTCAATAATATACCATGTAAAATCATTCCTCTCTCATGAATAGAAAGGGTTAGGAGGATATCCCCCCTGCCGCTAGAAGAGGAGAAAATCAAGGCAGCTTAGTGGTTGAAGAGTGAAGACAATAAAAAGCAATTAATGATTTGTAACTTCAACCCCTTTTCCGTGTTGGACTCAAGAGAAGTGGTGCATAATGGGTCCACTAATATGGATCCAGGTAGTTTGGAGGATGGATCAACTTCTTTGGAAATTGGGCCTATTTCAAATTCTAATGGGCTCATTGCCATAGAGGATGAAATCCAAGATATGAGAGGGTTGTCTAATGATTGAACAGGTGCAAAATAAATGCATGTATGGACTAAGGCCCAGCAGGATATGTGGCAAGGGAGCGAATGACCCCCTCTGAACAAAATAATATGGATATTGAAGAGGTTAGTATGGGCCCTCAGACCCAAAACCCCTCTAACCAATTTTAATGAATTTTCTTTTTAGGAATTCAAGGGGCAAAGGATCAAGGAGCCTTCGGTAAGAGATCCTCTCCTCTTCCCTTTCTATCATCTTCTCCTCCTCTTCTGTTTTTTAATCATAAAATTAATATTGTAGACGGTTAAGATTTGATCTTTCTTAAAATACTTCTTCTTAATTTGTATTTACTATGCTTTTAAACTTTTCAAATTAAATTTTAATAGTTTTGAATTTGATTATTTAATTTTTTATAACAATAATTTTATAAGACATTAAATCTAATTAAGCGCTTTAAATTTTAATCTAATTGTTAAAAGAGGAAAAGAATGGAAAGAGGATGGGAAGGGAAGAGAAGAGAATCTTCACCCATGTTATTTTCGCAATTTGTATGGGTAAATTCTAGTTGATAAGTAAAACTTCCTAAAATAGCGTGTTTAATTAAGAGCGACCTGGATAATCCACGGTGAGATAAAAAATGTTAAACAAAATGGAGGTCACTATGCAGTAGGCACATATGTACATGACATATTTGAATCCAGTGAATGGTTTAAATTAACTCATTTAATAAGTGTCTCACATAGCATGATAAATAGTCCTTCAATTTAATCAAATGATTGTAAGAAATTTTGTACTATAATACTAAAAAATTACCAAAAATTTGATATGTATATATATTTTCAATCTAAATATATGAAACCTGATGATCCAACTGTAGTTTTATTGATGAATAAATGTTTTTGCCCAGTTAGGAATTATTTTATTCCCCATGTTAAAGCTGTAATTAAGTTGGGCAAGACCTCCACAAGGTTGGATTAAATGTAATGTTGAAATTGCTGTAAATGATTCTTTGAATAATACAGCTTATTGTGGACCGGTTCTTAGGAATCGATATGGTGAATGCATTGGAGGTTTCTCTAAATTCCTGGGCTTTTGTTCACTTCTCCAATGCAGTCTTCGAATAATCTTTATTGGAATGAACATGGCTTGCAATACAATCACATTTTAACTAAAAATTTTAAAATTCAAGTTTATGGATAATGTCTCTTTATTTTATACTAATTATTAAGTTCAATTTTATTCAATATGAGTATTGGCTTAAGTTTACTCATATTTACCTAACCTCACAGACTTGCCAAAGAAAGTTCCAAGAATAGTAACTTTATAATTTTCTTGATACGGCTCCAGAGTTTTTGGAGGTCCTTCGTGCTTGCTTATGTAACATGTAGACAATTATGGCCTTGCACTTCTCTCTTTTATAAACAACCTGTTTGGATTGACAATATAATCGGTCTTTGGAGCCAAATAATTGATTTTTAAAAAAATTATCCAAACAACTAATTAATTTAATAATTGATTATTGAGCTAGAATCACATTTTGAAATAAACTGAGAGGTTTCTTATAAATTTATTTTTATTATTAAATTATATATTTTACTTCTTAAATAAAGTTTAATAAATTTAATAATATTAAATTCAACTTTATCAATAACTTAATTTTAAAAAGTAATGTCCTTTATAGTAATATGTATAGCTGAAATCAATTTTAATATACAAATACATTGTGTTCTAATATAATCAATTATAATTAAAATCAATCATATTAATTAATTATTTTTATAATTAATTATACCCAACTAAAATCCAAGCAGGTTTAAAGAAAAATGTATTCAACAACTTCATGGGGATGAATAAATTTTTTTTTTATATAGATAATAATTTAGGTAAGTTGGGGTTCCAGACTCATTAAGATGAGGGCAAGCTTTTAAACTTAAAGAGCACTTATAGAGATACTTATAGATTATCCACCAACAAAATTTTTATATCAAATAGTAGGATTTAATTTTATGACTTTATGAATTATGAATTAAATACTTATCAACTGATGAATTTGAAAGCAATTTTCCCCATTTTTTCAGTAGGCTTGAGATTTTTCTTTTTCTTTGACCTGTACCCTTTTTCAGATCAGGGAAAGCCACATTTTGCACGCCGTTCAACACTGAGCATGTTCTATGTTCATATTTGAACTAGCTTAAATAAATGTTTTACTTTCTAATTAAGTCTTCATTATTTACGTATATTTGCATTTATATATTGGACTAAATAGGTGTAATCTCTTCCGTTTTCTGCCTTGTGAATTTAGTACAAAGTTATTGGCATGTGCGTATAACCTCCACCACAATTCATAAACCAAGCATTTCAATTCATCATCAAAAAAATTCTGACTTACAAGCTCCCACCATGATGTCTCCAACAAATATTCCTCATCTGGTCTCTTCGACAACGGTGATCGGCCCCGGCACGGCCACCAGGTCAATGAGAAAGGATATCACCAAGGAGGCAGTAATAGAGGCTATCAAACTTGGATATAGACACTTTGACACTGCCTCATTTTATGGAACAGAAGAGTCTTTAGGAAGTGGCATAGCTGAAGCGCTTCAGCTTGTCCTTATCAAGTCAAGAGACGAGCTCTTCATCACTTCCAAGCTCTGGTGCACTGATAATCATCCTCTTCATGTCATTCCTGCTTTACAGAGATCACTTGGGTGAGACTGCTTAAACATAACTATATAGATCTATAGAGGCTTATAATATGTCTTTGATGCTTTTTATAATACCGCAACTTTTCAATTTTGTTTTTTTTCTTTTCATTATTGGCTTCTATATGAAATAAGAAACATTTCAATATTTTGAAGTATAAAACAATGAAATTTTGTATATTTTTTATGATTTTTCAAAACTAAAAAAGTGTAATTGTGATATTTTTCTCTTCTTTGGCCTTGGAATCTTTCCACTTAGAGGCTGATTTGGAATCTTTTCAAGACGAAGATTTGGCCACTTTGCTTTGTATTGTTATTCCAATTTAATGGCTTTGTGCACCATCTCTTCCTTGTTCATAAAAGTGTACAAGTCAAGTTTATTTCTTATCTTTAGTCTCAATCCATTAGCTAGCCTTGCCAAAGCATCGATACATTCTTGAATGCTAGCATGAATCTTCAAGAGATCTAACCCCATGCACATAATCCTCCATGAATATAGTTCCTTGAGAAAACATCCTCAATTTGTGATTGATCAGCTCTGTGTAGTAATAATTAGGAACATATGTTTTTCTTAGGTACCTCTTTAACTTCTCCCATGTTTTGATGGGCTTTTTGTCTTGGTGCCTCCAATTATAGTGTAAATCTTCCCACTAGAAAATAGTATGATCAATAAAATTAAGGGAAGTAAATTTTACTATCTTTTTTTCTGCCCAGTCATTCACCCTGAAGATTTATTCCATCTTCATCTCCCAGTGTAGATATTTTTATGGATTCGCGCTACCCTTGAAGGTAGGATATTTCACCTTCTGATCAGATAAGTCAACGCCAACTTTGCAGGAGTTCTTCTTTTAGGGCTTTTGAGATGAAGAATTCATCTCTTCCTCATCAGTATGGTCATTTTGCGAGCTCTACTTGAAATCAGACCATTTCCATCCTCTTATTTTATATAAAAGCCAATAATTTAAAGGAAAAAAATGAAATTAGAAAGTTGAAATATTATAAAGGGCGTTAGAGAAATACACATTAGAAACCTCATTGGAAAATGAATGATTCAAGTTTTCAACTAGCTGATGAATGTTACTGCTGAAATAATCTCAAATTGATACAGGACTCCGAAATTAGAATATCTGGATCTCCATCTGATCCACTGGCCAGTAAGTGCTAAACCTGATGGGACTATGAAGTTTCCATTCGACGAAAACGAGTTGGTGCCATTTGATTTGAAGGGCGTGTGGGCAGAAATGGAAAAATGCAAGAACATGGGACTCACAAAGTCCATTGGAGTCAGCAATTTCTCCACCAAGAAGCTTCAAAATCTTCTCTCCTTTGCAAACTTTCCTCCTACAGTTAATCAAGTGAGAGAGAACCCACACACAACTTGTTTTTCTTCACATATATCATACGGTAACACAATCAATGATGTTTATATAATTTTGTAATTTTTTAATTACTATTAACACAGGTATTGACGAATCCTTGTTGGCAACAAAAGAGGCTAAGAGAATACTGTAAAGCAAAGGGCATAATCGTCACAGCATATTCTGCTTTGGGAGCCAAAGGAGCAAGTTGGGGTACCAATGAAGTTTTGCACAATGAATTACTCAAAGAGATTGCTCAGGCTCATGGAAAATCTGTTGCACAGGTACTCCTATTACAGTTTATTTTCCAGTTTAATTTCCTTCATTGGTTTTGGGAAAATTAAACATTTCATTCCTATAATTTTAACTCAGTTATAATTTAGTTCTTGAACTTTGTAACTCAATCCTTATGACTTTGATTCGGTTATAAACTTTGATTCGATGCAACTCAATTCTTATAGTTTTAATCATTTAAAATATTGGTTCCTATATTTTAAAAAATAAAATTATGAAGATTAATATTATTTTGAAATTTAGAAACTAATATTTTAAATTACTAAAACTTTTAATAGTTATAAATATTATAAAGAAAATAATTTTAACATTTATAATTTTATTTTCCAAAATATAGGAACCAATATTTCAAATTACTAAAATTATAGGAATTTAATTATATCAAATTAAAATTTAAGAACTGAGTTACATTCGAATCAATATGCAAAATTATAAGGACTTAATTATGAATCAAAGTTTAGGAATCAAGTGAGTTACAACTAAGTAAAAATTATAGAGATTAATATTAATTTTATTCTTTGCGGGAACTTGCGCTATTTAATATTATTCAAAATTTTTGGTGCAATAGGTATGTCTGAGGTGGGCTTATGAGCAAGGAGTGAGTTTTGCACTGAAGAGTTACATCAAAGAGAGAATGAAGCAGAACTTGGAGATATTTGAGTGGTCACTCGTTGAAGATGACCATGAAAAGATAAGTCAAATCAAGCAACTTCATTCATTTGACGGATCTACTTCATCACTTGAAGCCTTATTTGATGGGGAATCTTAGCTTTAATAATTTGATTACGATATGATATTTTTGGTTTTTGGAGCAAGTATGCCTTGCGTGATTTGAATTTCTGCAAAGTATTTTATGAGTGTTTCAGTTGTATTTAATCAGTTGATTATCAGTATAAGAGGATGTAGCATGCGAATATGAAGTGTATTTCGTTCACATAACTCAAGTTTCTTCTCTCTTCAATGAAACATTTACAATTAATCAATGAATGCCACTTGAGATTTTAGATAACTTTAAAACTTGTAGCATTTTATATATGTCACGAAATTAAAATTTTAAACTTCATCAAAACTTTTTTTGTTTTTTGGTGCAGTAGTGATTGCCATTTACTTGAATAAGCTCTTGCCTTGAATGTTGAGCAACGAGAATGAGGAGTACATAGATTTTAAAAAATATATATAAAGAAAGAAATGTTATAAACAAAATATAGAAAGAATAGAAATTAAATGAGAAGATAGGGGAGGAAGAGGAGAGTAGAAACAACAGAAATGAATATGACTTCTCTTATATTCTCCTTTTTATTACAATACAAATAGCACACCCTATTTATAGGCATAATCTTAAATCAATGGGTTTCACAAATGATAGTAGAAAATATAATAAAGGATAATCAATTACAGTCACAGTGGTGAGAGTTTTATGGGAAAAGATGAAAAAGTGAGGGGGATGGACATCCACATCACTTTTAATATTCATAACACTCCCCTTTGAATGTCTATTATATAAGAATGTACTTCATTAAAAACTTCAACTAGAAAAAATCCTATGGGACAAAAACCTAGTAGAAGAAAAGAGTACATCATTTATTTGTATGTTATCCAATACTACCTCATTAAAGACCTTACCAAAAAACACAATGAGATAAAACATTGGTTAAGGGAAAAGGGTATAGCACGTATTTTGTCCCCCCGATAACAACATCACTTTTAAATTATTGTACTTCAATATGATATACTAATTTCTCAAATATGATTGTTGTCAATATTTTTCCAAGCATATCATACTTCTGGTTGAGCCATATTAGATGCATTGTCATCATATATATAATTCTTATAAATATATTTCTTTAACATATCTTCATGATATAATACTTTTCTCATAATATCATGTCTCTTTTTCAAATCTATTAGTTTGCCATGAACTCAACATTGTTAACAAAATTATATCCTATACAATATTAGTTGAATGTAAAGATATTTAAATATATATATATATATATATAGCATTTCAGAACTAATCAAGGCTAATCAATTTAGTATAGTCAAACAAACAAAATAAGTATAACATTTTGATTTTATAACCATTGAGTATTCAATACTGAAAAAACAAGTAGAATGTAAAGTTAATATCAAAATTTTATTCTCAAATTCTTTTGATTAAAACCTACCATTTTTTCAAAACAAATTTGCTCGCGCGCGCGTGCCCACACACACACACACACACACACACACTCTCTCTCTCTCTCTCTCTCAAGCTTGAGGACATAATTTTCTCGAGAATTTGTTACATGCTTCTAGAATTTACACACACACACACACTCTCTCTCTCTCTCTCTCTCTCTCACAAGCTTGAGAACATAATTTTCTTGAGAATTTGTTACATGCTTCTAGAATTTACACACACATACACACACACTCTCTCTCTCACTCTTGAACAAGCTTGAGAACATAATTTTCTTGAGAATTTGTTACATGCTTCTAGAATTTTAACTCCTTCTAGGATTATCATGTAAATTTCATTATGTAGTGAGTAATATGCATAGGCTATAATATTATTCAATAGACATACATCATATTTCAATTTTATATACTATCAGACTAATGAGACATACAAAAATCCACCGCAAGATAATCTACTTGATCATCATTAGACCTCTGAGAAAATCTTTATTTTCACATAAGTGTTTATTTATCCTGTAATAACTTCACACTTTAAGTGTTGTCCATGATTTTCAAATATTAAAAATGAATATAATTTTAATCATATTGTGTCTTTTCCTTTTCCTTTTTCTATTTGGCCAAGCATCTTTCATTCTACTTTTCATAACAAATTTGCATACAAGATTCTTATTCATATGACATTACCATCAAAATTTTTGTCAACAATTTTATCTTTCCGGTTCCATTTTTCTGGGTCAATTTGAGATCTCTCTTTATTACTTTAAAGTACTTGAACCTGTTTTGGAACTTTTAGAATAAATTATGTCTTAACCCTCCTCGAGCACTAGCATAGACAGTTTAATCCACATCTGTTAAAATTGGTTATCAAATTGACTTCTTAAAAATATATCAATCTAAATATAAATTATATTACAACAATTAACATTTATCAAATTTTAGTTTGGTAAGTATACTTTAATAAATGATCTTTGGCAAAAAAAAAAATTCTACATGTCAAACACACCCTAATTCTAACATGAAGGAAGGAAGACTTGACTGCATGCCCTTATTTCTTATGGGATCAAATTCCCACCAAATGAATTAGGAACATGATGCCACAGGTGGGATAAGAGGAATCACTTATGCAGAACTAAATTGGGCAAAAAATGCAATTATATTCAAATCAATGAACACAATCTTCTTCCACTCGATTGAAGATGAAGAATAAAGGGAGAAAATAAAAACCAAAAATTGAAAAAAAATACTTGGATTTTGGGCACGAGCACAAATTGAAGACAAAGAACAAAGAGGGAAGATGAAGCCGATGAAGATGAAGAACACGTGATTTTGAGTTTGATGCTTTGGATGCTTTGGTATAGAAGATGATGAAGATGAAGATCATGGAGGGAGATAAAGTCAACGCTCTAGATGCGATGGAGAAGTGCTTGCTCTAGGTTAGGGCATGAGCAAGGGAGAAGATAAAAGACAATTGAGGATTTTGGGACGAAGATGAAGAATGAGGTAGCTATTGATAACAAGTACAAGAGCGAGCAAGGGAAAATTTCTTTGTAATGATGAACTGATATGCAAATAAGGGTTTTTGTGAATTTTAGAAGGATATCTACACCGGTTATAAGAAACAACCAGTGTAGATATGTTAATTTTTTTAAAAAAATAAAATACAAAACTACATCGGTTATACTTAACAACTAGTGTGGATATATTAAAAAAATATTTTTTAAAAAAATAAAATGTATAACTACATTAGTTGTATTTGACAACCGGTGTAGATATGTGAAAAGAAATTTTTAAAAAATTGAAATATATCTAACTACAGTAGTTATAAGTAATAGCTGGTGTAAATATTTTAAAAATCAATTTTTTAAATAAATAAGAGTATATTATCTACACAAGTCACGTAATATAACTGGTGTAGTATCAATATCCACATCGGTTATGAGAGGAATCGGTGTAGATATCATTACAGCCACCTTTTTATTTACAAAAATGTCACCACCTCATTACAGCCCCTATTCAACCACTCATAGTGCCCTTAATGAGTCCTAAAAGCTATCTTCCTCTTGAACCAGGAGTTGGTGGTACCCTAATCAAAGATCTAGCTTAGAAAAGTAATAAGCATAATGTAATTAATCTAAAATTTAATCATAATAGGAATTGGAATTGAATCCTTTATGATTATAGCATTTAATGCCCTATAATCAATGTAAAATCTTAAAGATCCATCTTTCTTCTTAACTAGCAATATAGGCATTGAATAGGGGCTATTACTAGGTTTGATTATACCTTAATATGATTCTTCTAGCTAAAAGGATAATGATATGAACCTTGACTAGTAGTACTCTATGTTAAAAGTTAATCACATGATCATGAGAATGTGGTGGAGGAAGTCCTTTGGGAATGCTAAAGACAAAGTGTAACCATTTCTATTGGAGTGTTTTGAGGTACTGAGAAGGTGTTGTTATCCATAATATTGTTACTTTGGCACTCCATTATATACATTTTAACAATAGCCTCAGTTACACAAAACCTTAACAATTGGTGAAACTAAGTAACCTTAGGCACATTCTTTCGGTCTTGCTATAAAGTTTTCTAGTGTCCTTCCTCAAGAAATTTAAAAGTAGCAGTATTATAGTTCACTAAGTGTTCACCAAGAGTTTCTAGCCATTCTTCCCCTATAACAACATCATACCTATAGGTTCTAGAATAAATGTTGAAATATGTAAGTGATTATTATCAATAATCAAGGGAATATCTTGGCCATACTATTGCCCTTCAACAAATGGCCTCCTCCTACTACTACTTTGAAACCTTACACTTACTCTATAGGTAGTTTCAAATGATTGACAATTTAGGGCTTAGTGAAGTTATCAAAACTCGTACCATCAAAAAATACAAATACATTAGTCCTCATAATATTCCTATTAAATAGGATAGTACACTTACTAAGGGACCCTTGCAATGCTTGAAGGGAAAAATGGTGAAGTTCTAGAGTATCCTCTTATTTATTTTGAGTTCCACATTCTTCTTTATTTTCATATTGCAATCACATGTACTAACGATTAGGGCATTTATGGCTCGTGTGAATTTTTCATCATATGTACAATTTATCCCTCTTCAATTGCATCTCTGTTAGAGTTGTAACATCCTAGACTTTAACTCCTAGATTAAATTAATCAAACAAGTATAATTGGGTAAAAATTTAGTATAAATTGGTTTAATAATGGTTAGTAATGGCTAACGACCTAGTTGTATTAGGTACAGCTTTTAGATTAGGTTTGGAAAGGGATTGGTCTACTTAGGCCCAAATTAGATAAGAAAATTAGAGCAAGTACTCTATGTGCCATCCATCATAATGAAGGCACCATGCGCCATGGTAGACAGTAAAAAATTTAAAACAATCTATCGCAATTCACGACAATAGAAAAGAAGGGAAGAAGAGTTTGAGAGAGAGGTGATGGGAGAAGGAATTATGGTTTAGTAGGGCAAGCTTTTGAGGCCATTTTGGAAAGATTTAAGCTCTAAGACTCTAAGGTATCTATAACCTCCTCCAATATCCACCAGATATTGTAAGGGGTTAACATAATCACCACATGATATACCAAAACTAAACTCAAAGAAAATTTATTTTGACATGCTTGGGAACACAAGACTTTTTGTTTTAAAAATCATTGAAATCATTCATATATCAGAGCAATGCACAGCCAAAAATAATTCTTGCGTTCACTCACAATATAAGATTCAAGTCAAGAAAATTCATATAGAATAGGGGCGACACACCGTGATGTACACC